GAGGGGGTGCTACTGAGGGGCCGTGGAGAGGGGTGCTACTGAGGGGCCGTGGAGGGGGGGGTGCTACTGAGGGGCCGTGGAGGGGGGGTGCTACTGAGGGGCCGTGGAGGGGGGTGCTACTGAAGGGCCGTGGAGGGGGGGTGCTATTGAGGGGCCGTGGAGGGGGGGTGCTACTGAGGGGCCGTAGAGGGGGGTGCTACTGAGGGGCCGTGGAGGGGGTGCTACTGAGGGGCCGTGGAAGGGGTGCTACTGAGGGACCGTGGAGGGGGTGCTACTGAGGGGCCGTGGAGGGGGGGGTGCTACTGAGGGGCCGTGGACTGGGGGGTGCTACTGAGGGGCCGTGGAGGGGGGGTGCTACTGAGGGGCCGTGGAGGGGGGGTGCTACTGAGGGGCCGTGGAGGGGGGGTGCTACTGAGGATCGTGGAGGGGGGTGCTACTGAGGGGTCGTGGAGGGGGGGGGTGCTACTGAGGGACCGTAGAGGGGGGTGCTACTGAGGGGCCGTGGAGGGGGGTGCTACTGAGGGACCGTGGAGAGGGGTGCTACTGAGGGGCCGTGGATGGGGGGTGCTACTGAGGGGCCGTGGAGGGGGGTGCTACTGAGGGACCGTGGAGGGGGGTGCTACTGAGGGGCCGTGGAGGGGGGTGCTACTGAGGGGCCGTGGAGGGGGGGGTGCTACTGAGGGGCCGTGGAGGGGGGCGGGGAAGATGTGAGCTGTGGGAAGAGAGGGAGGAAGTAGGCGATTAAGGAAGGGACGTTGGTGGAGAGGAATAGGGAAGTGAAAGAGAGAGAGAGAGAGAGAGAGACAGGGGGAGACAGAAGAGACAGAGAGAGAAACACTCCACAATACTGAAGGAGGGAGACAGACAGAGACAGAAACACTCCACAATACTGAAGGAGGGAGACAGACAGAGACAGAAACACTCCACAATACTGAAGGAGGGAGACAGACAGAGACAGAAACACTCCACAATACTGAAGGAGGGAGACAAGTCATCACAAAAGACCGGAAACGAGGTACACACATAGCGGAAGTATGAGTGTACTCACCTATGTGTGCCTGCGGGGTCGAGCTCTAGCTCTTGAAACCCTCTTTTCTAGCCGCAGGTCGTCTAATGCAGCGACTCCTGGCCTGTAGCCCTATCATAGCTGCTTTTAAAGTTGCAAATTGAGTTTGTCTCAACAATCTGCTCCTTTAGGTCATTCAATTTCCTCACTATCCTTATGCTAAAAGAAAACTTTCTACCATCAGTGTCTCAAGCTTCCATCCGTGCCAACTTGTTCAGTTTGTAGTCATTGTAAACATTTCCTCTCTTTCCACCCTGTCAATCCGTCTAAGTATTTTATACATCTGCATTATGTCTCCTCCACTCCCTCCTTTCTAACGTGGTCAGGTTTAGTTCCTTCAGTCTGTCTTCGTACCTCATCCCTCGCAGCTCTGGGACGAGTCTCGCTGCAAACTTCTGCACCTTTTCCAGCTTCCTTATGTGTTGTGGTTCCAGGATGGGTCGGGATACTCTAAGACTGGCCTCACACAGGCGGTATACAGTGATCTAAAAGCCTCCTTATTCAACTTTCTGAAGAATGTTCTGACTTTTGCCAGAGTAGAGTATGCAGCTGACGTTATTCTATTGATATGAGCCTCTGGAGTTAGGTTTGGTGTTGTGTCTACTCTCAGGTCTTTCTCTCTAGTCGTTAAAGAGAGGTAGTTTCCCTTCATCGTGTATTGACCTTTCGGTCTCTTGGAAAAGCCCATTTCATGATCCCATTTCCATTACTTTACATTTGTTGGTGTTGAACCCTAGCGGCCATCTCTTGCACCAGCTCTGTAGCTTAAGTTAGCTTGGAGAATTTTACAATCCTCATCTATCTCAACCCTTCTCATCAGTTTCGCATCGTCTGCAAACATTGACATGAACGACTCAACTCCTGCAGTCAAATGTATAAACATACATAAACAAATGTATAAACAACACTCCTGCAGTCAAACATAAATAAGGAATAGTGTGGGTACGAGCACCGAGCCTGTGTACTCACCTAGTTGTGCTTGCCGGGGTTGAGCTCTGGCTCTTTCGGCCCGCCTCTCAACTGTCAATCAACTGGTGTACAGGTTCCTGAGCCTACTGGGCTCTATCATATCTACATTTGAAACTGTGTATGGAGTCAGCCTCCACCACATCACTGCCTATTATTATGGGTTTTCCACTAGTACCCATTCTCCAAGTTCATTTGCTTTATTTGTAATTCCATCTATGTTAGTGTACATTGCCTTGAGACTCACTTTCTTCTGTCCCTTCTCAAATCTCCTCCTTGGTGAGTGTTCTGCTGGTGGAGGAAGCTGTGCCATGGTTGTGAGGATTTGTGAGGTGGATACCAGGGTTGCAGAGGATACTGGGATGAGGGGTGGGGGGTCAAGTGAAGGGGGGAGGGACAAGGAGGGTATGGGGTGAAAGGGGCGGGAGGACAGGAAGGAAAGGGGGGGTTTCTATGCAGAGGAGGGTGGTGGGGTTGCCCTCCCCGCTGGTGTTACTGGGTAGCTGGTTGTGGGTTCCCCCCTCGCCTCTGGGGGTGATATGCCAGGAGCTGTGGTTTCCTGGTTTTCCCCTCTCGCCCTGCGCTTCTTCCTTGCTTCTGCCGCCATGGCCCTCTCCTCCCTCGTCATGTCCCTCTGGAGGAATACTTTTTTTAATTCTCCCACATGTTGCAGGTGGCTCTTCCTTGTTAGAATCGTGTCCTTTGTGTTCTCGTTTGCAAACACTATCTTTAACACACAGTCTCGGTCTTTTTTGTACCAGCCTAACCTGAAAACCTTCTCAATGCTATGCTCAGCTCCTTCCATGTCTAGTGCCTTCAGTATTTCATTCACTGCCGCTTTGTCCTTATCATTCCACTCTTTCCTATTAGAGCCTTCCTGCTCTTTAATACCCACAGCCACCACTGATCTTTTCCTTTCCAGCACCTGGCTAGTGGAGCGTGCCGCTTCCTGTGAGGTGGCTGCTTTCATGGCTACCTCCTTCACTGCAGACATTACTTCAGAGTTGTTGTTTTTTAGTATTTCTGCAAATGTTGCTTTTATTGTGGCATTCTCTTCCAAAATATTATTGCCACCTTCTCCCTGGGTGGTTATCTGAGTCTCAGCATCGATACTGTTCTCTTTGAGGGCTCTAATCTCCTCCTTTGCTGCTGTCAGCTCTCTTTTTTAGGTTGTTTATTTCATTCTTCATTTCCCGCATCTCACTCTTGATGTCCTCCAGAAACTGGGCGAACATTTCCTTCATTTCATCACCTGAACTTTTCCCTGTTCCCCTATTGCCTCTGGCTGTCATGCTTGACCCTGTTCATAGATGTGCCGTGATAGGATTTGTCAGAAGGGCAGAGCAGGGTGGGGGAGAGAGAGATAGAGAGAGAGGGAGAGAGAGAGAGAGAGAGAGAGAGAGGGAGAGAGAGAGAGAGAGAGAGAGAGAGAGAGAGAGAGAGAGAGAGAGAGAGAGAGAGAGAGAGAGGGAGAGAGGGGGGAGAGTATGTGTAAGGGGGACTGGGGGGTGGGGGGGTGATGGCGAGCAGGTCAGGTCAGGTCAGATGGGGGGTAAGAGAGGGGGTGGGGTATAGTGGGGTCTTACCTCTTTCCACAAAGGTGTTAATCCTTTCTTCCCTGACTGAACGTTTGTGTGTGCGTGTGTGTGTGTGTTTGCATGTGCGTGCGTGTGTGCGTGCATACGTACGTGGGCGTGCGTGCGTGTGTCACGAGTTCCTGTAAGCGTTAACTTCTACCCAAAATGAGCCACTTTGAGATTTTAAATATATATGCTATCCTGAACAAGAATTTGATAATATTTTACCTCACACTGTACACCTGATTAATTGACCAGAGAGGGGTACATACCAGATCAACCAGGCTGTGACTCATACGTCAGGCTGTGAGCAGCCGCGTCTAACAGCCTGGTTGATCAGTCCAGCAACCAGGAGGCCTGGTCTCCGACCGGGCCGCGGGGACGCTAAGCCCCGGAAGCACCTCAAGGTAACCAGTCTGCTTTTCCGCTCACACAACTAGATGAGTAATGACGATGTATGGTTGAAGATGGTGCTCCGTCGTCGCCTTCCACTTGGTGATTCACCAAGTGCTAGTAGATTGATGATGGCGGTTCTTCTCTAGCTACACAAAGCTCTGGAGTCAGTCACTGTATCGTTGTGTTACAGTTCACTAATTTACTGTACCACTGATCACAGTCACCACCCAATAAACACAATCAGGCAGTTCCACGGCGGGTCGTCCCACCTGGCCGTAAGGTCAGGTCGCGCCACGCGGTCCTCCACACTGTATATGCACCATGATGCCACTAGCTCCACTTTGGTTTCTTCGCACTATCGCTTGCGATATGACTATGCTATATAGCACCCTGCTATATAACACACTGCGAGAGGCCAAATACTATGATCTATCCTCTATACTCCTTCAGGGTCTCGAGAAATTGACGAATTTCCGCGGACCTCACTAATCGTGTGTCTCCTACCGGCGGCGGCCTGTGTGTGTTTACTAGTTGTGTTTACTAGTTGTGTTTTTGCGGGGGTTGAGCTTTGCTCTTTCGGCCCGCCTCTCAACTGTCAATCAACTGTTTACTAACTACTTTTTTCTTTTTTTTTCCCCCACACCACACACACACCCCAGGAAGCAGCCCGTGACAGCTGACTAACTCCCAGGTACCTATTTACTGCTAGGTAACAGGGGCACTTAGGGTGAAAGAAACTTTGCCCATTTGTTTCTGCCTCGTGCGGGAATCGAACCCGCGCCACAGAACTACGAGTCCTGCGCGCTATCCACCAGGCTACGAGGCCCCCTATACCCCTGGTGTGTGTGTGTGGTGTGTGTGTTAGAGAGAAATATATGTAATAGACATAATAGAGGGAAAATAGATTGGTTAGAAAGGCGGGGTCCAAGAGCTAATAGCTCGAGTCTGCAGACACAGATAGTAAATAGTAAATAAAGATACACGCACGCACCTACCTTGCAGTCATCGTGAGATTAGGTTACCCCAGATTGTTAGTTTACCTCTAGTGATTAGGTTACCCCTGATGATTAGGTTACCCCAGAGTGTTAGTTTACCTCTAGTGATTAGGTTCCTCCTGATGATTAGGTTACCCCAGATTGTTAGTTTACCTCTAGTGATTAGGTTACCCCTGATGATTAGGTTACCCCAGAGTGTTAGTTTACCTCTAGTGATTAGGTTCCTCCTGATGATTAGGTTCCCCAGATTGTTAGTTTACCTCTAGTGATTAGGTTACCCCTGATGATTAGGTTACCCCAGATTGTTAGTTTACCTCTAGTGATTAGGTTACCCCAGAGTGTTAGTTTACCTCTAGTAATTAGGTTACTCCTGATGATTAGGTTACCCCAGATTGTTAGTTTACCTCTAGTGATTAGGTTCCTCCTGATGATTAGGTTTCCCCAGATTGTTAGTTTACCTCTAGTGATTAGGTTACCCCCTGATGATTAGGTTACCCCAGAGTGTTAGTTTACCTCTAGTGATTAGGTTACTCCTGATGATTAGGTTACCCCAGATTGTTAGTTTACCTCTAGTGATTAGGTTCCTCCTGATGATTAGGTTTCCCCAGATTGTTAGTTTACCTCTAGTGATTAGGTTACCCCTGATGATTAGGTTACCCCAGAGTGTTAGTTTACCTCTAGTGATTAGGTTACTCCTGATGATTAGGTTACCCCAGATTGTTAGTTTACCTCTAGTGATTAGGTTACTCCTGATTAGGTTACCCCAGATTGTTAGTTTACCTCTAGTGATTAGGTTACTCCTGATGATTAGGTTACCCCAGATTGTTAGTTTACCTCTAGTGATTAGGTTACTCCTGATGATTAGGTTACCCCAGATTGTTAGTTTACCTCTAGTGATTAGGTTACTCATGATGATTAGGTAACTCCAGATTGTTAATTTACCTCAAGTGATTAGGCTACTCCTGGTGATTAGGTTACCCCCTGGTGATTAGGTTACCCCTGGTGATTAAGTTACTCCTGGTGATTAGGTTACTCCTGGTGATTAGGTTACCCTGGTGATTAGGTTACCCTGGTGATTAGGGTACCCCTGGTGATTAGGTTACCCCTGGTGATTAGGTTACCCTGGTGATTAGGTTACCCTAGTGATTAGGTTACCCCTGGTGATTAGGTTACCCCTGGTGATTAGGTTACCCTGGTGATTAGGTTACTCCTGGTGATTAGGTTACCCCTGGTGATTAGGTTACCCTGGTGATTAGGTTACTCCTGGTGATTAGGTTACATCTGGTGATTAGGTTACCCCTGGTGATTAGGTTACCCTGGTGATTAGGTTACTCCTGGTGATTAGGTTACCCTGGTGATTAGGTTACCCCTGGTGATTAGGTTACCCCTGGTGATTAGGTTACCCTGGTGATTAGGTTACCCTGGTGATTAGGTTACCCCTGGTGATTAGGTTACCCCTGGTGATTAGGTTACCCTGGTGATTAGGTTACTCCTGGTGATTAGGTTACCCTGGTGATTAGGTTACCCTGGTGATTAGGTTACCCTGGTGATTAGATTACCCCTGGTGATAGGTTACCCTGGTGATTAGGTTACCCCTGGTGATTAGGCTACCCCTGGTGATAGGTTACCCCTGGTGATTAGGCTACCCCTGGTGATAGGTTACCCCTGGTGATTAGGTTACCCCTGGTGATTAGGTTACCCCTGGTGATTAGGTTACCCTGGTGATTAGGTTACCCGTGGTGATTAGGCTACCCCTGGTGATTAGATCTGCTTGTGCTCGTACCCTCATGCGCGTACTGTGGCGCGCACACGCACCCTCACAGAAGGGTATTAGCTTGTAAATCGGTATTTGGGTCAGTCACAGATTACCTACCCCCCCCCCACTACCCCCTGCACCCCCCCCCCCCCGCACTTCCCCCTTCACCCCCTCCCCTCCTCATCCTCCTCCATTCTCCTTTCCCCACTCTTCACACTCCCCCCTTCCCTTTCACCCCCCCCCCTTTACTAGCCCCACCCCCCATCCTAATCCCCCCAATCAGTCGTTATAAGGGGTAAAGATAACCTGGATAACCCCCCCCCCCAGATGTGTGGAGGGGGGATGTAGGGGTGCTTTAAGGGGGGTGTCGCGTGCTGGTGGGGTGGGGGGAGGCCCAGGTAAGTGTTTCTAGTGAATGTTTTGGGTATCAATGTCTGGTGTTATCCTGTCGCGACGGTTATGAAGATGGGGGTGGGGGTGTGGTGGGGGTGAGGGGGGAGGTGTACTCAAGTATTCGTGCTGCAAGATCGTCTTGTTAGCTCTAAGACCCCGCCTTTCTGGCCGTCGGTTGAGTAATGTACTGACTCCCGACCTTGTATTCCCTTATGATCTCTCTCTCTCTCTCTCTCTCTCTCTCTCTCTCTCTCTCTCTCTCTCTCTCTCTCTCTCTCTCTCTCTCTCTCTCTCTCTCTCTCTCTCTCTCTCTCTCTCTCTCTCTCGGAAGAGAGAGAGAGAAAGAGAGAGAGTGAGTGAGTCCCGGTCTGAGAATCCCTAGTCTGAGAGAGAGTCAGACTAGTCATAGAACTGAGAGGTATGAGCTACAAAGAAAAGCTAAGGGAGCAAAACCTCACGTCCCTGGAAGACAGAAGAGTAAGGGAAGACATGATAACCACCTACAAAATTGTTAGAGGAATTGACAGGGACAACAGACACTATTTAACACGGGTGGTACGCGAACAAAGGGACACGGTGGAGACTTGAGTACCCACATGAGCCACAGGGACGTTAGAAAGAACTTTTTCAGTGTCAGAGTAGTTAATAGGTGGAATGCATTAGGCAGTGATGTGGTGGAGGCTGACTCCATACACAGTTTCAAGTGTAGATATGATAGAGCCCAGTAGGCTTAATAACCTGTACACCAGTTGATTGACAGTTGAGAGGCGGGACCAAAGAGCCAGAGCTCAACCCCCGCAAGCATAACTTTGGGAGTACAACTAGGTGAGTACATTCGCCCATTTCCTCCCCCCCCAAGGCACCGTTGGCACACCTGCCCGGTTCTCATAGTAGGCACCACACACCTGAAGTGACACAGTACCTTCCCCCCCCCTGCCCCACAAGGCGACGGCCACCTTGCCCAGTCCTGCTGATGCCCCTAGAAGCCAAGGGCATCCTCCTCTGCTGCGGGAGTCTATGCCCCGGCTCCCTCTATATCTTAGTGTCAAACTATACCTCGGGGTTACTGTGTCACCCTTGAGTGTCACCCATGTGACACTCAAGTCGACAGGTGTGGGACTTAAGAGGTTTGCTGTACCTCTTATGTTCTCTTGTTTACTTGTTAAGTGGTCGTCATGTTAAGAGGTTTATAACAGTTCCTTTTGGGAGGAGTTCGTTAACCACAGGTCACCTGTGTTGAGGTGTTTGTTAGTTATGTCTCACCTGTGTTGAAGTGTTTGTTAGTTATGTCTCACCTGTGTTGAGGTGTTTGTTAGTTATGTCTCACCTGTGTTGACCTGTGTTGAGGTGTTAGTTATGTCTCCACCTGTGTTGAGGTGTTTGTTAGTTATGTCTCACCTGTGTTGAAGTGTTTGTTAGTTATGTCTCACCTGTGTTGAGGTGTTTGTTAGTTATGTCTCACCTGTGTTGAGGTGTTTGTTAGTTATGTCTCACCTGTGTTGAGGTGTTTGCTAGTTATGTCTCACCTGTGTTGAGGTGTTTGTTAGTTATGTCTCACCTGTGTTGAGGTGTTTGTTAATTATATATTTTTGCTCTAGGAGTACAAGTCTTTAACTGTTACATTAAGAATGTCTGCGTGTACACACACACACGCAAACGCACACGCATAGACCGCACGTGCACAGGTGAACAGGAGCGTCAGGTGAAAAACTTTGCCATTTGTTTCTGGCTCGGCCGGGAGTCGAATCCTGGCCCTTAGGACTACGACCCCCGAGCGCTCTCCACTGAGCCGCGAGGCCCCGTAATCCAACCCGTTCTCGCACTTTCGTATAGTCAATATTGACTTATTAAATACATGCATATGTGACATACTAAACATACTAGTTTACCTTGAAAAGCTTCATAGAAAACACCGACCTTACCTAGCCTTCTTAGAATGTTAAGATAAGCATCTTATTGCTTCGTAATTACAATTATTACTTAACCTATACCTATAATAAGTTAAGTAATAATTGTAATTACGAAGCAATAAGATGCTTATCTTAACATACTAAGAAGGTTAGGTAAGGGTGGTGTTTTCTATGAAGCTTTTCAAGGTAAACTAGTATGTTAAGTATGTCACATATGCAAGTATTTAATAAGTCAATATTGACTATACGAAAGTGCGAGAACGGGTTGCGTAATCACCTAGTTGTACTCACCTAGTTGTGCTTGCGGTGGTTGAGCTCTGGCTCTTTGGTCCCGCCTCTCAACCGTCAATCAACTGGTGTACAGGTTCCTGAGCCTACTGGGCTCTATCATATCTACACTTCAACTGTGTATGGAGTCAGCCTCCACCACGTGTTTCTCTTACCATGATGCTGGGGACGATGATGAAATTGATAGTGTTGATGATGAAGATGATCGTCAGGATGGTGAAGATATTGATGATAGGAATAAACCTGGCTGCTATAGGATCCTCTCCCAGAGTCATGAAAATTAATTCGTGAACCAGTACTGCTATATCACACACACACACACACACACACACACACACCACACACACACACACACACACACACACACACACACCCACACACACACACACACACACACACACACACACACACACACACACAGAGTGGAATGACAAGGACAAAGCAGCAGTGAATGAAGTACTAAAGGCACTAGACATGGAAGGGGCCTGTATTCCTCCAGCGAGACATGACAAGGGAGGAGAGAGCCGTGGCGGCAGAAGCAAGGAAGAGGCGCAGGGCGAGAGGGGAAAACCAGGAAGTCACAGCTCCCAACACAACACCCCCAGAGGCGAGGGGGGAACCCACAACCAGCTACCCAGTAACACCAGAAGGGAGGACAACCCCG